GGAATGCCCATAAATGAAAAATACATAATTATGTCATGACTCATAAGCACACTTGTCCAAATGCACCAATTCTACAATGACTAATAGCAACCCATGTGAACTAGGCTAGTTTGAACCTCACGCCATGAAGCTTAACAATAGAAGGTAGACACAATTTTATGGATAACAACTTCTTTAATACTGTAAAAAGCGACGTTTCTGTATAGATCCTTATACTGTTGTCAAGCAAGACGTTTGGATATAAGGATTTATACCGAAACGTTGCTTTTTACAGTATTAAGTAGTTGTTATCCATAAAATTGTGTCTACCTTGTCATCCATCAACTTCTAAGTAATGCCTATCAAACAATTTAACAATAGAAGCGAAAGTGATGTGTAAGTGCAACAACAACACAGTCTCTTGCATAACAACAGAAACATTCCCAAGTTTGTACTGCATAACTGAATTTGGAAACAACAAATATTGTCTTGATAGCTGTACTAAAAAAATGTGAAGGGCTTTTAATTGCGCCATCAAAGCAGGGAAATATGCTTTCTAAATGACAAATCATGTGTAATATACATATATGCTAACATACTCAAGACTATCTGGAATGGAAATAAAATACTAGCAAATACTTAAATGCAACAAATTAGAGACATATTTACATATATCTTCATACTAATAACTTGTGACAACGGAGCTTTTAAGTCTCTTGACTGGAAGAAAGACTAGACTAGACTTGTACAACAGAAATACCAACATACCCACTAGGGCTGCAACGATACAGGAAGGTCACGATACGATACGCATCTCGATATTCTGGTCACGATACGATACGTATCTCGATACGCAATGATAAATAAAACAAGACTTAAAGCATGTCAAGATTGAACCTTTCATGATTTTGGAACAGTCAAAATTATTTTATAATAACAAGACTACTGAAGTTGTTCAGCTTCAAAGTGGAACTTTCTCTAACTTTCCTTAAAAACAATTCAAAGTTCAAACACCAGAAAATAATTAATGTACTCCACCAGTGATACAACTTCAAAGAATTTTGATGCAATGGTCGAAGAAATTGTATCTGAAATTATTGTTTTATCAGGAATAATATATTCCAATATCGTGTTACCTTAGTTGCAGCTTTTACTATATATATATTTCAAATTATAAGAACAAGTGTAGCATTTTGGTACTGGTGATTGCTGTTGCAGGATATTTTTACGTATGGAACAATTTGACAAGTCACCCTAGGGACTTCCCGTGCTACATGTATTTCGATTGCGAAAACGTTATGTTGACATATATTCGCCAAATTGCCACAAATATGACTTTTAACGAGTCAAAGTATGGCATTTTTAATATATGTATCCATTCTCTAGCAACTTAAGTTCGTTTCAATGTGTCAAAAGCGGTAATCTGACCGTGGTTGCTGTATCGTGGCGTATCGATAAATGGGCCCACGTTTATCCTATATCGTATCGTGGGTCAAGTATCGCGATGCATCGGAATATCGGTGTATCGTTTCACCCTTAATACCCACAATAAACACGCTGGTCATGACAGTAAATTTGTAGCCATGCTTGAGACAGACCGCCAGGTATTAACGAATTGCTCATTTCTGCACATGTACTTAATTCAGTATTAGTACATTTCAAGTCTTGCTTCTGTCTAACACATTGTTTCAACAAAATATCAATGTTTAATTTGTAGTTGATATCTCCAAGGTGCCTTATAACACTTGCCTGAAAACCCATCTAGCACGTCTTGCTGAATTTGCCGAATTAATTTGTTTAAGAGAGCCCGAAAGTGTGACACAGTAAAACAGCTTGTAAAATATATGAATTTTGGCACACGCTGCAAAGTATGTATGAGGTAACATCATTATGAAATCTATACCAACATTTTCAAATCATTAAAATGTGTAACAAAGAGACGTTTTAGCTAAGGAATAGATTTGAGAAAAAATATTGAATGAGTATTACTTCCATACCCATCTGCTTATGAGTAATTACATTTTCCATCGATAGTAAGTAATATAGGTTTAACACCACTTGAAACAGTACTTGAGTTAAATCATGATGTGTCAGCTGAATGTGGAGTGAGTGAGTGAGTTGGGTTTAACGCCGCTTTTAACAGTATTCCAGTTATATCACGGCGTGTCAGCTTAATGTGGGAGGAAAGCCCGAAGTGATGCAGGTCTCAGACGTTTACCACTTCGGTGAAACCCACGAGCACGTGTATGGTGCTGACAAACCTAGAAACATAATCGGGGCGAACCGGGATTCGAACCCACAATCATAGGTTTCTGGCGTGCCCAAGGGACGCAACTCTGCACAGCAAATCGCGGCGCCTTAGACGACTGGGCCACCCGTGCCCCCAGCTGAATGTGGAAGGAAAACCAGGAGTGGTGCAGGTGCTAAGATGTTTACCTGATAGGTGAAACCCACAAGCATGTGACACACCTAGAAACAGAATCATGGCAAAGATTCATAGATCATAGGTTTGATGATCATAACTTTCTGCTATGCCTAAGGAGACAAAGAAACAAACATGGTAGGAGTATAAGTATGAAGCATGTTCTGTTTTCCTTGAACAAACTGATTATTTTATTTGAAACCATGGGAAATACAATATGGAAAGCGAATTGAAAAACTAAGATTCATCAGTCTATGGGAAGGATATTAATGCAATTCAGTCAAGCAAACAAACACTGTCTCTGAATATTATTGATTCTAAGTAAAGTGCTCATACTTGTCTTAGGCACTGAATAATATCATACAGAAGATTATCATGGAATGAACAAACATATATTAGAAATTCATTAAAACATCCGCATCTTGTAGGCAGTGATTTTCGCAATAAATACAAGCTGTTGAGGATGTATTGATGAACTGGAAACTCATAATATGAAATCATAATACAGACATCTCGCAATAACACCTCTAGGAGTGAGTGAGTGTGTTGGGTTGAACTCGGCATTCAATGTTATTTTAGTTAACTTTCGGCTTGTCAGCTTAATGTGGGAGGAAAACCTGAAGTGAGGCAGGTCTCAGGCGTTTACTACCTTGGTGAAAACCCACAAGCACGGGTATTGTGCTGACAAACCTAGAAACATAATCGGGGCAAACCGGGCTTCCAACCCACAATCACAGGTTCCTGGCATGCCTAAGGGACGCAAGTCTGCACAGCGAATTGTGGTGTCTTAGGCGACTGTGCCAGACCGGCCCCCAACGCCTCTAAGGATGGATGTCCATCAGACGTGAGGTACAAAAAGAATTCTTGCCCATCTCACCAACAAACACAACATCATCCCCACATAGATGATAATCCTATACGAACCCATATACACAAACATATACATGTACACTTCCAACGAAATCACTTTTGCGACCTTCTAATACCACTTGAGCTAAGGCTCCAGCAATCTCATCAGTGGGAAATCAATGACTGTACACGTAATCAGTTTTTAACATTACTGTGTTGTATTTACTCCAGTTACATTTGGATGACTGTAGCAAGACTGGACAACTAAACATTAAGGCTGATCATGCTTTGGTTACTAAAGAAAAATCTCTTAAGCACGCATCGTTATGCTTAATGACCTGAAAATGCAGCGATGACGTTACTCTGTTGTTTCAAATTTATCTGTAATGAAATGAGTTTACTGACCAACTTTCTGCAATGAAAATCAAAAATTTATGATGACTTCATACAAATGCTGCTGCAGTAGCTTCTTAGCTAAGAATTCACTGGCCATTCATTCTGGCCAATTAAAACTGAAGTACCTATAAGTCATTCTACAAAATCATAGAAAAATCTGAGAAATCGCTCGAGTATGTTGATTCTGGAAGTTAAAACAAAGAGCTGATTGATTCCCAATTCGAAATCAACTGGTTTGAGTTATTTCTCTATTACCGCATGCAGAAAGAGCAGTTTACAATGTTATCACAACTCTCTTACTGGACCAGACAAACCAGGGGGATGGACAAATGGGAGAGTCAAACCACAGGTTGTCACCCATCCAAGAACTATTCTTGTTCATTTTCACCAGCTGATGCTACTTCTGGTTTTCGTCTTACTGGAGACCTATCACAGAGATATGCAGTAGCTATGACTTTGCAGCTAAATGATTATTTGTCCAATCTCCCTACTTCCTGTCTGGAACACTGCATCACCTTCACAGAACGAGACACTGATGAGGCCATCAGAATGTAAGCTGTCAACGGTGAAAATTGTCATTAATGCCATCACGATTAACATCTTTCATTCGTAGGTTTGAAACTGTAACAATCCAATAACAATTAAAGGTACACCGTATCACAAACATGGAAGAATAGGGTGAATCACATGTATTGAACAACCACTAACACGTTGCACTAGGCATCAACAAAATATAGCATGGTACTATTTGCACAAGTTATCTAAGTGGTAAATATATACCCTCCAACAGATAGACACACCAATATTTATCCTTCAATAAATAGTATCTGTTTCATTAAGTAACTTCTTTCTCTCTCAATTCCATTTCCTATTTACAATGGACCAGTACAATCAAAAGGGAATAAAACTTAACACTGTCTCTTTGAATCACAGGAATATCTGTACAGTTATATATATTCATATTGACCCACATTGCTCAATAAAAGTACATTGTTTAATATAGCTACATATTCCTGTGTATGAACAAACTATATAGTTAGCAGTTAGGCTCTTTTCAAAAAGGAATTATTTCTGCCACTTGTTTTCTTTGAAAAAAAATCAATAATGTAAAAAATCGAAAATACTGAGGTACAAAATTACAGTAGAACACGGATATAACGAACACGGATATAGCGAACAAACGGATACAACGAACTGTTAAAAAATCCCCGATTTATCTCCTATATAATATCATATAAAATTTACGTATATAACGAACTCTCTACAGCGAACTAACAGATACAGCGAACTGATATCTGATCACCGACAAGCCCATCTATCACTAATTAGTGACGTGTATAGCGAACTGAGAAATCTCAATCTGACAATTGGCTGTACGCAATCAGTGGCGAATCAACACAATGGCGGCGAAACAATACAATCAGCAGTGACGGATCAACCTTGTTTAATTTGCATTGTGTTAATCTTACCTGTACATGTAATCTTGTCTGTAAAACAAACATTAAACATTAAAAAATTATGCTGTCATGGCGGGCAACAGTAAGAGGAAAGCTATCAGTTTAGACACGAAATTGAGAAATATTAATGCTGTTGATCCAAGATGGCGGACGTTTCCGAGCGAAAGCGTGTATAACGAACAACTGATATAATGAACTGATATCTCTGGTCCCTTGTAGTTCGTTATATCCGTGTTCTACTGTAATGTGATAAACATGGTTAATAAACCTTTGGAAGTAACACATTGTTCCACAATGTGGGAATCACACACGTCGGGAATTTTACTACGAACAAATGGCATTTGAACATTTTCAGGATTTATGAACATTTGACATCACATTCCCCTATAACATGACCAAAATAGATTTGCAGGTTGACAATCAGTCATCAATGCCTAGAAACATAACTGATCTGACACCCTGCAACTCTCTAACTGAAGAAACGGCACAGCTCTATACACGTCACACAGAGTGGCCTCCATCGCATTCTGTACAACCTGAACATTATCTTCATAAAAAATTTTAATTGGGTAGATCTTATTCTCTTAAAAGGCAGATCGTTACCTTCTATTTAATTATTGGACAAGGCTGAGTACGTCATTTCTTTCACTCAATAAAGACACATAAAGTGACTCTTGAAAATACATCATCTGTCGGAAATCTCATCCCTGGATATCACACCATATATTCTAGTATCATAATTCTTTTAGGTCAATACAAGAGCTGTTCATGCCACAAACAAATGATTGACTTCTACCATATACAGTGATGAAACACAAAATGTGTTGTTAAAAATTACCGTTGTTAGATTGATATATGCCCGAAAATAAATTTGTAAACTTTCTGTTACATTGATAATTGATACAGAACTGAATTCATTTGTAATCATTGGCATCACTAACTAATCTTGGCTATTGTATAAAGTCCAAGGTTAAGCTTTATCCCCATGTTGAGCACTCAATATACACAGTAACAAAACACAAGTGTGCAAACATTAACATGTGCATGAATGTATAGTTGGCTGCGCACTCATGAAAGTGTATTTATTCAGTATGTATGAACTAGCTTCAGGATTACACAGTATGTAGAAGGGAAGATAAAATAATGACTAACCTCAAACAACTTAAGCTGATGTCTGCTTTCACTTGGGTAGCAAGATTATTAATTTCTTTCCATATACAAACTTAATTTTGATGTTCTAAATTGCTTCAGAGCTTGAAACTTGATAATCTGAAGATTTCAATGACTTCAATGGAAATACGCATAGCTTTAGTAAACGAAGGTTCCTTACAAAAATTCATTAATGACCAAATTCTGAAACCTCTCCAGCATTCTCGAGGTGATTTTGCATACTGTGATGCTATGTATTTTTGTGTACATTTGTGAGTATGCATCTCGAGTTGTTACTGCACACAGTTGTATGTCTGTGTGACTGCAAGTACACATTGAAACATGTTTCAAGAGTTGTAGGAATGACATCTCTACACATTCACCAATCTCAGTAAAAATTAGATCTTACTTCTCACGACCACTAAACAAAGATCTAAGGACATCCCATTACGGGTCACGTCAGAATGACCTCTAACCCGATCGATCAGAGCATTGTCTACCAGATTGGGAAAGTGAGCGTCGAAATGTGTTAACATGGTGCATTTCAGAACAACAGTTACGGGCTGCAAGACATACTAACACGAAAGACTAACATAAAAGAAATGACTAACAGTCAAGGCCTCAAATGATATACTTGGCATATATATATATGTATCCTTTGAGGCATTTTATGTTAGTCATTTCTTTTGTCGGTCAAAGTTCGTGAACCATGGCCAGTAATGGGATGTTCTCAGATCTTTGTTCAGAGGTAGCGAGAACTAAGATCTAATTTTAATAATGATTGACACGTCAATATTATTCCATCAAATTACACATGTTGACCTATGTGATGTTCACAAGTGATCTTTACATCAATAAGTGGCACATATATACGTTAACTGTTTCACAATACTTGTACTTCCCCATCGCACCTGCAGCCATATGATGGTTTACCCATTAGCTGTCCCCGGGTTATCTGTGATCTAGATAATTCTGTGACTGCAACTTGCTTACTCAGATCAAAACAGAGACTCTCACCTCATGCCTCGTGAACTTTTATCAACGAATGTGGATATATTTGATATCAGAATCATTCTTCAAACTTCTTCAGTTTGTAAACAGTAATATCCAGCGCCTTGAGTGTACAAAGAAAAGCTAACCAGCCTCAGAGGCAGAGAGATTAGTGACATCATTTGATTGTGATGTCACAATGGTCTGCAAGCAGTGTGATGCAATTCCATTGCACCTGTATCAGATATCACATGATCTCATTGGATATAACCTGTGGAAGCCAGTTTTGGATAATAAATCAACTTTTCACAACCCTCTTATCTAGAACCAGACACATTTGCCTCATTCGTGTCTCCTTATGTTTAGCTGCTGACTGAGTTCTTCTTGCTGGATTGGGAAGATCGATCAAAGGACAGTGCCCCCCTACAGATAGATCTCAGCTCCTCAACCAGAGTGTCGTAGCGGTAGGCCACACGGATGTCGGGGACGTTGGTGCGACTCACGTCATTTCCAGATACGCCTTCTAGGGTGTAGTTAGGGCCGAGCCAGTGCTGTTTCACCTGTTATTGAAATATGATGTTTTATACCCATAGAACATTACTAATTTAGCCTAACAAATTTTACACAATCCATCTCACTTTCTAAACTCTTGTTATTCTGTTTTACCATCTGGAAGAAGATATCTCATTATGAAAGGTATTTCTAACAATCCAAGACCTCTTTTAATCCAGTAAGAATATCACTTTTAAACAAATGTTACATCCTTGTGTTTTTAAACTTTCTAACTCATTATCTGCAGGATTTGTTTCGTTAAACCTTAAACCTCTAAAATGCTCTAAATATTGTATGTTCCATGTTATAAATGTGTATTTGTTTAATCCCCTTTACATTTCTGATGCTCTAAAGTAAGAAGAATTCCCAAATGGGAAATAAATATTTATCTTATCTTATATATAATAAGATTCGTGTACATAGACATGTAAAGACAACTTTCTCAATTTCAGATCAACTGTATTGGGTTTTATCATGTTTTTTCATTACATTGTTCTCATTACCAGAAGTGAATTAATGGAAAAATGTGTCCAGTTGCAACAGGATAACCTTAGTGCATTACATGCATTATAGCGAGACTACAGACAGCTTGGATTTCGGACTTTTCTGAAATATATTACGACAATTTTCAGAACTTCTGTGAAAATAACTTAATTGTCATAATTCTCCAATCATATGTCTGTACTATCCATTATTAATTGTCAGCATCTCTTTAGATGTAGCCGAGTCATCTGTACACCATCTGGACCAGATGAACCAGTGGTTGATAGCCTGAGGAAAGCTCCACACCATCCATACACAATCATAACTTTAGTCGAGTTAGTCCACATGAACTAACACCGCTGCTTATAGTTTCTTCAGTTTAAACATGCATTTGCCATCATTAAAAAACTAAACATCAATAAAATTGTCAAGGCATACATATAATAACCTGGTCGATCAGATAATAAGAAATCTGAAACTACGTTTTTGTGCTTACCAAATGAGGGAATCCACTCTGTAGAACACTGTTGCGAGAGATTTCACACATGTCGCATGTACTGAGCTTCCACACTTGGGCTGCAATGCTGTACTCCTCCATCAGCGGTTCCTGCACACAACACAACACTAGTGAAAGAGGGGCACACATTCAGTTCCATTTTGTAGCAATTTTGAAGATTGAGAGTTAATTTACCTCTGTAATTCCTGCATTTGGCAAGAAAGTTCAATTCTGTCCAAGAACCTAAGAATGATGACAGGACGAATCAACTCGACACTGACCTTAGTGAAGTGGAACTGAAGAGGATCATCTGTTGATAGGGAGACGTTGAGGCCTCGAGCCAAGTACTCCGGAAGTGGGTTGCGGTGGTAGTTGAGGAAGAGAGAGTTGTTGCTGAGCGGAGACATAGCGATGCCAATCTGAGCTAGGTAGTACAAGTATTGAAGCACTGGCACCTGCAACATGGATAGGTGGAGAGTTTCGTTTGTTTGTTGTTGAACGTAGTGCTCCACAATATTCCAGCTCTATGGTGGCAGGCTGTAAATAATTGAGTCTGGACCAGACAATCCAGTGATTGACATCATGAGCATTGATCCATCCAATTTTGATGAATTACATGCAATAATCCAAGTCACCAAACCTGACCACACAATCCATTAAGTCGCCCCTAAGCGCATAGGTTCTTTCTCCCTTTTACTCCCAATGGAATCTGTTTCGGTGGATAATCCAAAATGGATATTTTCTGGCAATGACTTTTTATATCACATGAGTGTGTGTATAATATTAAGATGATATTGCCAAAAGAGAATGTCTGTTTGTTTAATCTTTAGAGGAGATTTCTCATGTTGTCTGAATTTCTAGTACACGCAGGGATTTACCTGATATATTTTAGAGTTGTCCAGGAGACTCAAAGCTATTGACTTTTAAGGTTTAAAAATTGGGTCCAAAGCTACAAAATGGGTGTCCTAGAGAGTTGACAGCTTAATACAGCACTCTACTGCAAGTGACGTAAGACTGCACATCCTCAGAGGCTGTTAGTTACAAATTTATATTGAGTTAGCCAATTAAAAACATATTTATGTATTGAATTTTTCAAATGATTATGTACAGAAATTTGTTTTCAATGGTAAAAAAAAATGAAATTGAAGCATTCATTCTGAAATAGGAACATTCATTTTCTGCACTCTGTATTTTAATATTGCGTCCTATTTCAGTTGATATGCATATCATATAGGATACAGGATTCTCTGTCCTGTAAATCCCTGATGACCAACCTTCCTGAGAACCAGGCCATGTGAGATGCTCTCAGCAAACATGAAGCCAGCGAGGAGATGCGTCACATTGCCGGCCTCACCACAGTGGGGGCGAAATTTGAAGGTGCTGAACCCTCGCTCACTGCGGATGGAAACAAACAAGATCAAAGCTGTAACACCTTAGCTGACTCTAAAAGCATTTAATGGTGGAATTAATGCGGGTAGTTACCTCTGCTATCCATACATGGAATAGTGTCTTTCAATGAAATACCAACTGAATAGAGCTCAATGCTAGCAAGCAGATTCTGTGCCCGTGTCAGGCTGAAGGACTTGTTTTGATCTGACATTTTGATATTCTTTTCTGAAATCTGTTAAAGAAATTTCACTTGAAAATGCCTCAGTCTGGTCAATTCCTGCCATCATTTGCTATGTTGTGGACAGAAAGGACAAGTGGGAAAAGTTGTTGACAACTACTTATGTTGAATAGTTGGGGAGTTTCACCATTCAGGATTCAAAATTTCCACAAGTCTGCTAGAACAAGATTGGCCAAATTCAGGAAGAACTAGTGACATAATCTTGTGGTTTACCACTTCTACTATAAGGTAGATGGCAACTCTGCAGCAGATAATTATGGGCAAACTGGTGAAAAAAAAGATTTAACACCAACAGTGTCTTACAATGACCTGAATTCCTTTTGATTCTGCAGATTTTGTGGGACAACACAATATGTATCGGTAGTGGCCATGGTCATTTGGGCCAAACAAAATGATGATAGATATATTCTGCTTTTGATTTATGATTGGTCCTTTCTCTGGGAAAAAAGAAGTGGCATATCAATCTATTCCCATATTGCTTACAACCATTATATCATTCACATGGCCAATTCTTTTGCTCAACATGCATGAAGATCATCATAGGCAATGAAAATGTGTGAATGTGTGGGGTTGTGGTAAACTGATGGTGTGTTCCTCACCTCCTGAACATGTTGAGCACGGTGATGTTGGCATACATGTAGAACAGGTAGTAGCTGTAGGGGGGGTTCTCTTCGGACTTCCAGTCCTGTGGAAGGGGCGTGTCCTTGTCAAACACAATGTGCTCAGATTTGGACTCATCGTCCACAGAATCAAAGCCCGTCACCTGAAGGAGAATTATTTTAAACCTCAAAATTTAACTCGCATCAATCTTTTCTTGAAGCCTAATCAGATAAGTGTTATTTTACACTGAAGTGAGAAATACTACGTACCTGACCTGCAAATAGTTAACTCAGGGAAAAACAGTGAGGAGACTGGATCAGATAGTCCAGTGATCAATATTGTGAGCAACGATCCAAGCCATAGGGGTACGCAATTAACTATCACTAAGCCTGACCACCCTATCCATTTGGTCGTCTCTTACAACTAGCATAGGTTGCTGGGGATGTGTTCTGTGTTCTGATTCGTCACATCTTTCACAGTTCATTCAAGATATTGAATATGCTTTTCATCCGTTTCATGTTTGACAAGTCTACACATTTTCATAAACAAATGTCAAAGAATGGTTATGGTTCATTAAGAAAGTATCCTAATACGTGAAAATCTACTTGTTTTTGCGTAGTTATCCTTTGTTTACAATGGTTGTACGGCTCCACGTGCTATCATCGAAGCCCAACGGAGAGCTAGAGATACGGTCACTTTGATGTATAAATATATATTGTCATGAAATTCACTGTCGCAGTGGTAGTAGCATATCTATATAATTATGCAAAACAATATGTTAAGCGACCCCAAATACTTGAATAAGTCCGTTCTATACTGATTTCTGAAAAAGCGCGTTTGTTTACAAACAAGAGAAAAGTCTGGTCACGTGATATGCAAATTAGCCTGTGGCAGTGGTGTTATGCTGAGTCACCACTGCGACGGAGTGTGGGCATTCCCTTCACTTACATATTGCAGGAAGGCATGTAGTTCTGGGTGACTCTTGGGGTTGTTGGTGGCTTCGAACAGAGGCAGGAACACATTCTCCAAGATCTCCTCAAAGTTCTTCACAAGCTTGTTGCTGTGGTACACATCACTGAAACAACACACGTGTCAGTGTGAGACAAGAAACAAAATGTGTCAATGTGTGAAACAACACATGTGTCAGTGTGGGACAAGAAACAAAATGTGTCAATGTGTGAAACAACACACGTGTCAGTGTGAGACAAGAAACAAAATGTGTCAATGTGTGAAACAACACACGTGTCAGTGTGAGACAAGAAACAAAATGTGTCAATGTGTGAAACAACACATGTGTCAGTGTGGGACAAGAAACATTGTCTGTGATACACAACTGAAACTTCAACACATGTGCAACTCTGTCACAAACAGCAACATGTGTGTTACGGTGTGACAAGAAACATGTGTCAATGTGTGAAACTTCAACACATGTGCAACTCTGTCACGAACAGCAACATGTGTGTTACGGTGTGACAAGAAACAACATGTGTCAATGTGTGAAACAAAACATTGTCTCAGCTGTGATACACAACTGAAACTTCAACACATGTGTAACTTCTTTCAGTGGTATTTAGAAGTTGGTGTGATGAAGAAGTTGGTCAAACATGTGTAACTGTGTCACAAACAGCAACATGTGTTAGTGTGTGACAAGAAACACCATCAACACAAACCTGCTTCTTACAGCCTGCATGCATACAACAATTACAACTATTCACCACATCCATACAACACGTTTCTCAAATATGACCACATCATCATAAACTATTGCAGTCTAGGAAGTATATAATGACAGGAATATCAGTGACACACTTCACAATTACGTTTCACTTTTCATTTGCTTATAACACTTGTCAATCAGTGAATATTCAAACCATGAAAGCAAAGGTAAGTTTCACGTACTAGAGTCTGGGAATCTGCACCAGCCATCGGACGTTCTCCGAGTGAACGCGATGCTCCACTGCCCACTTTGCCAACTTGTCCCACTCATCTCGACTCCGCCCATAGATAGACAGACGGTATTCTGCATTTTGATATTTGCTCTCCTCCAAGTCACTCATCACTTCCTGCGTGTCAAGGTAGATCAGAGAAATCAGTGGTATTCTCACGGTGCCTTTAACTACTCGCTTACAGTTCAAGACAATTAATATATACAGGTATGGAACATTAAACTTCAAGGCCTTTTCACAGCTTTTCAAAGCTTCCATGTGTCACTTTCAAGGCTTTTTTAGGTGGGTTAGTAGCCTTAGTCTGTCAATATTTTAATAAATCCAGCATACTATATATGCCGTAATACCTAAAAAGAAGAATGAACATGACAAAATATCTACATATTTATTAAGTCTATCATGATTTCTTCATGGTCTTTGGCACTCAGATCTATCACTTACTTTTACTGACAAGTATGTCACAGTGTACAAATTCAAGGCTTTTCAAGCTATTTGGGTAGTGTTCAATGCCTTCTCAAGGTTGACATTAAAATGAAGAGGAGCCTCAAAATTCAAGGCCTTTTCAAGCATGTATGAACCTTAATATACATCATTGCAATAACATGTTTCCAAACCAGCTGGTTAAATGAACAATTCCTTGTATTGTCACACCTAATACTATGGAGCACTGTACCGTATACAGTCCTGATAGCTGCACTTTCACTCTCACTTTCACACTTGTATGGCATAGAGCCCTGGGCTCTGTTCCACAAAGAGATAGGCAATAGGCTGCATTAGTCGTAGCACTAAGTTCCACTTAGCATATTGCCCGGGTAGCTGCATTTCCACTCTCAGTCCTGCATTTGTAGGACATATTGCCCTCAAAGCTGCATTCCAGCTGCATTCCCACTCTCACCGAGTCGTACATTTGTATGGAATATTGCCCGGGTAGCTGCGTTCCCACTCTCAGTCCTGCATTTGTAGGACATATTGCCCTCAAAGCTGCATTCCAGCTGCATTCCCACTCTCACCGAGTCGTACATTTGTATGGAATATTGCCCAGATAGCTGCGTTCCCACTCTCACCGAGTCGTACATTTGTATGGAATATTGCCCGGGTAGCTGCATTTCCACTCTCAGTCCTGCATTTGTAGAACATATTGCCCTCACAGCCGCATTCCAGCTGCATTCCCACTCTCACCAATCGTACATTTGTTGGAATATTGCCCAGATAGCTGCACTTCCACTCTCACCGAGTCGTACATTTGTATGGAATATTGCCCAGATAGCTGCACTTCCACTCTCACCGAGTCGTACATTTGTATGGAATATTGCCCAGATAGCTGCACTTCCACTCTCACCGAGTCGTACATTTGTATGGAATATTGCCCGGGTAGCTGCATTTCCACTCTCAGTCCTGCATTTGTAGAACATATTGCCCTCACAGCCGCATTCCAGCTGCATTCCCACTCTCACCGAGTCGTACATTTGTATGGAATATTGCCCAGATAGCTGCACTTCCACTCTCACCGAGTCGTACATTTGTATGGAATATTGCCCAGATAGCTGCACTCCCACTCTCACCGAGTCGTACATTTGTATGGAATATTGCCCAGATAGCTGCACTTCCACTCTCAGTCCTGCATTTGTAGGACATATTGCCCTCAAAGCTGCATTCCAGCTGCATTCCCACTCTCACCGAGTTGTACATTTGTATGGAATATTGCCCAGATAGCTGCACTTCCACTCTCACCGAGTCGTACATTTGTATGGAATATTGCCCAGATAGCTGCACTTCCACTCTCACCGAGTCATACATTTGCATGAAAGATTGCCCAGATAGCTGCATTCCCACTCTCAACGAGTCGTACATTTGTATGAAATATTGCCCAGATAGCTGCACTTCCACTCTCAAATCTACAATTGTACCTGGCTTTAAAACTATATACCCAATGACTGACAACATGACACCTACCTTTATCACCTGACCAAAGTATTTGCCATTGATGTAGTTGTCAGTTTTGATGAAAATCTCCCTCAACCGACTTTCACCAATAGGATTATACTTGGCATTGAACTTATCAAATCTGTGAAATGTGTTTCTGTCCTGAAATGCAGATAAGTCAAACATGTCAGTTATTATTTGTCTGTTTGTGGTTTAACACTGACCTCAACAATAGTCAAGATACATGACAGCGGTCTGTAAATAATCGAGACCAGACAATCCGGTGATTTATATTTTGAGCATCGATCCACGCAATTGGGATCGATGACATGCATCAACCAAGTCAGTGAGCCTGACCACCCGATCCCGTTAGTCACCTTTTACGACAAGCATGCCTTTTACGGCAAGCCTGGGATGCTGAAGATCTATTCTACCCCGGATCTTCACAGGTCAATCGAGTTTTGACCAGACAATCCGGTGATTTATATTGTGAGCAACGATCCATGCTGTCCGGGTACGATGACACGCAACAACCCAGTCCCTGCATCTGACCACCCAATCTATTTGGTCACCTGTTAAACCAGCATAGGTTGCTGGGATCAATTCTTAGCCAGAATCCCCACAGTGTCTTAAGTGTCACTTGCTCCATTCAGAGTTGAAGCTTAACATGAATATCAAACAGATTTCATGACAAACTATCACACTGTATTCTTGAGAGAGTGAGTGAATGAGTTAGGCTTAACACCGCCTTAAACAGTGTTCGAGTTATATCACAGCGTGTCAGCTTTATGTGGTATGAAAGCCTGAAGTGATGTATGTCTCAGACGCTCACCACTTCGGTGAAACCCACGAGCATGGGTATGGTGCTGACAAACCCATAAACATAATCAGCTTGAAGCGGGATTCAAACTCACAATCATAGGTTTCCGGCATTTCCAGGGGATGCAATTCTGCACAGCGAATAATGGTACCTTAGACGACTTGGCCACCCGAGCCCCCCAGTATTCTTGAAAGCCATCACATGCAACCAGTGGCAATCTTATAAATAGCAATGTCCAGTGGTAGAGAACAGAGGACAGGGACAATATATCAGGTTTGCATATAGAGATAGTTTGATGACTGTCCCCATATGCTTTAACCTTTTATCATTCATAAAAAAAATATCTCACACTACATATCTGTAGCATGACGGTAAATTGGTAATGCTAACATACTACAACAAAACATCTTATTCAGAGTTGAGAACTGAAATAAAACACTGAAAGTTAGACTTGGTCTGGGGGACTATATGATTTGTTCATATATTGTAAGGACATGTATCACAAAAGGGGTCTCAGACTTCATGAAATCCACTGAATTCATCAGACCCGAGGAAAATTCTCATCCCTGCTAATTGAGGTGAGAAGTTCCTTGTGTATATACTTACAGCATGTACATCCAACATGTCCACATTTAGATCATATGTTGTCAGATTGAGACTTTTGAACACCTAAAACACAAGAAATGATTGAACTTAAATTATGATCTCTCAAAACTGTCATTTCAATATACTACACATGAGCAGGGTGAGAAATCAATTATTACTATCATCAGTAGCAGCTGACAAAGGAATGTCACTGGTCCTTCCTAAACAATACTCAGATGAGCAGATTTATCAGTGAATTTTCAAGAGACAGATAGTATTAGGACTTTTTCGTGATATGATCATTGTTCTATATCATGACCAAATTTGAAAAATATCTTTGGAACATTTTGGATCCTATGATGGACTACTTGTGTCTATAATTGATTGTGGAGAAAAAAAAAGTTCTCAAATGTATCACAGATATGTTTAACAGGCATTGTAATTTATAGGTAAAAACAAAATTTAAAATAGTGAGGTCCTGAACAAATTAGGGTGTCATATTTGGAGGGAACAAGCAGGGAAATTTCAGCTTCATTGGTCTTGGTTTCTGCGGAGACGACATTTACAGAGTGAGAAAATGCATCTTGAGAGAATTTAGGAGCAGGGTCAAAGTGCAAAGGTCAAATAAAGATCAAATAATAAAATATTGTGAAAAAGAAACATGTGTTTAGCCATGTTGTCATAAGGACTAGAAGAAATTTGCCATTTTTAGGGTTTTGCTGTATGGTATCATTATAAGGACTGGTGGAATAAAACTGTTAGTTTTTATCGCTGCCTTTGTGGAACACACACATGTCTCTTGGCTCCGTGTCTTACCTCAGCCAAGGTCATCAGTTTGCTGTTCCTGTCTTTACACACAACCTCATCTTCGCTTGTCTTCATCTTCTTCTTGATGAACCTCAACAGATGTTTCTGGTTCATGCAGGAGGAGGCATGTACGTGGGTGTCCACCTAAAACACACAGAGGCTGTGAGTCTGCGGGCCTTGATATCAGTAACACAGCAATACAAGGCAGTCTGCACAGTCGTAGTGTCTATAGCAAATACACAAGTTGAAGTCCATACATGTACCCTAACACACCTTTTCATACTCAACAGCTCATGCTACATCTTGCAGTGTTCAAAATTAAGGGGATTCCCAGGGTTTTTGAGGCATTCTGCATTAGTATTTGAATCCTATATCTTTAAGTTGACAGTCAGTGAATGCTGAACAAATTGCCAGGAGAATCTCCATGTTATCAGTTTATCTAAGATTAGACACCAAGTGACACCCGAGAGTCTTTTGATATGAAATATATCTACACAAGTCCAGGTTTCATTCTTCTTATGATCCAAAATCATTCGTCTAGTTTTTTTCAGTTTGCAAACAGTAATCACCACTGTCTTGAGTATAAGAAGTATGGCCAACCAGCTTCATTTGCAGAGAGATTAGTGATGTCATTTGATTACGACATCATGGTACCCAATGAGGTCACAATGGTCTGAAAGTATTGTCATTCAATTTCATTGCAGTGATATCTCCAAGGAGATCTCACCAAAGTGATAACTGCTGTGGAAGCCAGATTTTTGTGTGATAAAATAAAGTTTTTATTTTCCAAAACTAAGAAATATTTTCACAACCCCAAAACTGAGCATTTAAGCATCTTCCTCTTTATTGGGCCCTTTAGGCTTTTTATATTTTATTAGTTGTTTTAAAAGGAAAAGAAATCCTGGAGGTCTAATAAAATATCACTATCCCATTATTATTATTTACCTATTTTCATTTCGCAATGTCGATGGTCAAAATAAAAATTATCACAAATTGAACTTACCTCTCTTGGGGAAGATTAGTACAGAACTTTTGACATGTCAATAATATACTTAATGCGTGCATTTTGGAAGAGGAAGCTGATACAGCTCGTTTTTTTCAGTGAAATATATGTGTGTTTACAGTGAAAGTCGTACAGAAACGTATGGGAATGTTGACTTCAACATGTATGCCATATATATTTGACTTCTCTGCCCCACACATTTCGTTGACAATATCAGAATCTGCCACAACACTGTTAATTAAACCCGCAACCGTTCCTTCTAACTTCATGTTGATAAACTCCCATTGATGTGTTATGTTTTTTTTCACTTTTGTATTTGAATACATTGGCAACAAAAAAAATAAGCAGGGTAACTGTATTTTCTATTTTTAACGTCAGCATTTCTCTCATTATTTATGAGATATAAAAGGCCTTATCAGTGAAATACAAGTACCACCATGAAGTTGTCACATGTAGTTATAAATAACAGCATGAATTGGGAAATTCTAAATTTAAATTTATGAGTTTTTTCTGACATTTGGTGCAGACAAGTATGGGTCTCTGAGTAGGTCCCGATAAATCAAAGTGTGATCTGACCTTTCTGATGTTGTAGAAGTCTCTGTGGGGAACCTCTTTCTGAGAAGCGGACTCCTTCATTTCATTGAGCAAGCCATGCAGCTGGAACTTGTACGACAGGAACGAGAGACGGCGGTAACAGAAGGACTTCCTGGAAGCCAAAATGCCCAACAGTCACAATGAAGTTTAAGGGGGACTTATTAAGGCACAAGCAAAATGACAGTCGCTGGTTGAAGAGGCATTCAATATATGATAGCAGATTGAATAGCCTTGGCCCTGTCTATATTGTGAAAAGTTAAAAGCCGCCATTAGCAATATTCCTGCTATAAGATAGCATATCAATAATCAAATCTGGACCTGACAATCCAGTGATTGATATTGTGAACAACGATCCATGCTGTAGGGGTACGATGACACGCTATCAATAAAGTTGCCGAGTGTGACCACCTGATCCATTTAGATGCCCTTACAACCAGCAAAGGAAACAAGGGACCTACTTAGATGACCTTACAATCATGAAAGGTTACAAGGGACCTATTAAGATGCCCTTTCAACCAGCAAAGTTTACAAGGGACCTATTTAGATGCCCTTACAATCAGCAAGGGTGACAAGGGACCTATTTAGATGCCCTTTCAACCATGGCCAGCAAGGGTTACAAGGGACCTATTTAGATGCCCTCATCAACCGCAAGGGCTACAAGGGACCTATTTAGATGCCCTTGCAACCAGCAAAGTTTACAAGGGACCTATTTAGATGCCCTTACAACCAGCAAGGGTTACACAGGACCTATTTAGATGCCCTTATCAACTGCAAGGGCTACAAGGGACCTATTTAGACGCCCTTACAACCAGCAAAGGTTACAAGGGACCTACTTAGATGTCCTTACAATCAGAAAAGGCTACAAGGGACCTATTTAGATGCCCTTACAACCAGAAAAGGTTACAAGGGACCTATTTAGATGCCCTTATCAACCGCAAGGGCTACAAGGGACCTATTTAGATGCCCTTACAACCAGCAAAGGTTACAAGGGACCTACTTAGATGCCCTTACAATCAGAAAAGGCTACAAGGGACCTATTTAGATGCCCTTACAACCAGAAAAGGTTACAAGGGACCTATTTAGATGCCCTTACAGGGTTAGAAACTAACAGTTTTTGTCCACTAGTCCTTATAATGATCACATATAGCAAAACCCTTAAAATGGGCCAATTTCTACTGGTCCTTAGGATACCTTTACTATTGGGCATTTTGGTAAGGACTACAGGACTAGTGCCAATTTCTAACCCTGCCTTACAACCAGCAAGGGTTACAAGGGACCTATTTAGATGCCTTACAACCAGCAAAGTTTACAAAGGACCTATTTAGATGCCCTTACAACCAGCAAGGGTTACAAGGGACCTATTTAGATGCCCTTACAACCAGCAAGAGTTTTTAAGGGACCTATTTAGATGCCCTCACTGTTACAACCAGTAAAATTAACAAGGGACCTATTTAGATGCCCTTACAACCAGCAAAGTTTACAAGGGACCTATTTAGATGCCCTTACAACCAGCAAAGTTTACAAGGGACCTATTTAGATGCCCTTACAACCAGCAAAGTTTACAAGGGACCTATTTAGATGCCCTTACAACCAGCAAGGGTTACAAGGGACCTATTTAGATGCCCTTACAACCAGTAAAGTTTACAAGGGACCTATTTAGATGCCCTTACAACCAGCAAAGTCTACAAGGGACCAATTTAGATGCCCTTACAACCAGCAAAGTCTACAAGGGACCTATTTAGATGCCCTTACAACCAGCAAGGGTTACAAGGGACCTATTTAGATGCCCTTACAACCAGCAAGGGTTACAAGGGACCTATTTAGATGCCCTTACAACCAGCAAAGGTTACAAAGGACCTATTTAGATGCCCTTACAACCAGCAAGGGTTACAAGGGACCTATTTAGATGCCCTTACAATCAGAAAAGGCTACAAGGGAACTATTTAGATGCCCTTACAACCAGCAAGGGTTACACAGGTCCTATTTAGATTCCCTTACAGGGTTAGAAACTAACAGTTTTTGTCCACTAGTCCTTATAATGATAACATATAGCAAAACCCTTAAAATGGGCCAATTTCTACTAGTCCTTAGGATACCTTTACTATTGGGCATTTTGGTAAGGACTACAGGACTAGTGCCAATTTCTAACCCTGCCTTACAACCAGCAAGGGTTACAAGGGACCTATTTAGATGCCCTTACAACCAGTAAAGTTTACAAGGGACCTATTTAGATGCCCTTACAACCAGCAAAGTTTACAAGGGACCTATTTAGATGCCCTTACAACCAGTAAAGTTTACTAGGGACCTATTTAGATGCCCTTACAACCAGCAAAGTTTACAAGGGACCTATTTAGATGCCCTTACAACCCGCAAGGGCTACAAGGGACAGAGCCCTTGCAACAGGGCTATTGCAAAACAGCATCAGTACTTACAGAGGGCCATCACTGATGAAGGCATACATGAGATTCTGGTCATCTAGGTAGGTGTTCAGGTCTGGGTAGGGCCACTCAATAGGCACGTTTTTATCCATGGCCTCCCGACTGCGGTACACATGCACAACACCATTCACAAGCTTGGAGCAGCATCCCACGTCCTCATCCATGTCGATGTTGAAAGGGTCGCCATGTTTAAGTGGCGGGTGAATTGGATGATCTGCGACAATGAGGACTAGTGTCAAATTTTGTCATACGGTTTCAGAATCATAAATACTCACATGCCATGGAGTTGCATTGAGATCAATATTGTTGTTCATATTGGTGTAATGATGAATACCCGTACATAAAAAATGAGATATGTGATGTTACTTTACATACAGAGATATCTTAAAAAGTCTCATGCATAAGATAAATGTGTTCCAAAGCCAGGGATAAGTGAACTCTTATTAACCTTTTCATTATGAAGAACCAGAGTAATGAGGCCCAGAGCAGGCAATAGGTTGAGCATTGAACCCTGCTCTCCACGGACGGAATGAGTTAGTTTTAAAGCTGCTTTGAACATTATTTCAGTTATGCCGAAGAGAGTCAGCCTCTTGTGGAAGGAGAGCCTGAATTCATGAAGGCATCAGATTTTAACCACTTTCAGGAAACACACTAGCATGGTGCTTACAAACCTACATACATAATCAGGACATACAGTAAGTTACTGGCCAACCTAAGGGATGCAGCGAATTGCGGCGCCTTAGACAACTGGGCAAATATAAACTTGATCTTAACAAGGCCACACATTTTTTATTTTTCGTTTCACCGGCCTACCGGCCCTACTGAAAAGCAGCTGGAAAAGAAATAAATTAAACATAAAAATAATTTATTTTTATCATGTCTCTCAAGAGTAATATATACCCTCTTATACAATATAATATGTTATATATAAATTCCATGTCTACATCACTATCAGTGATTTAAGAAGCCAGCTGCAGTTCTAACTCCACAACACAATGACTTTCATATAAATAAAAAAATGATTGACATAGCTATTTATTTTTGTTTTCATTTCAACCGACCTTGTGTGGAAAGGCTGGAATAAATTCGTGAAACATAAAATTAAAAAATGAGGCCTAGACAGTTGAATGGAATGTTTCTAAATATGCTATTATAATTCTTCTCTTTACATGCTGATTTCACAAATAAAATATTATGCATAAAAAACATGAGAGTTAATGATGTCCAAATAACAACGCTGAGTGAGGTGTTGACTGACTTCTACTTCCTCTGCTCCACATAAAAGAATGTCAAAAGACAGACATTGTTAACATGAGTTCATGCAACCCACACTTGAGATTGGAAAATGCTTTAAAGCCGTATCACATACGTTTGGTGAAATTAAAAATGTAACAGGAGAATGATCATATACATATTTTATACTTTTAATTTTTGATCTCTTATTTCCTAAACATATATTCAGCAGCGTAACTACATTACAATTAAAAGTGATGATCAAATACCAGACTATGTTGTAAGCAATGTATTTTAGCAGAACACTAAGCATCACACAGGCCTATATTAACCACTACCCATACTGCTTGTAAGTGTGGCTGTCAAAGAAAAGATTGGTGACTAGTGACTCCCAGTCGAAATACTGGTGGGTGGCTGCATTTGTTGTTTAACGCCACACTCAACAATATTCCAGCTACATGACGGCGGCCTGTAAATGATGGAATCTGGACCATACAATCCAGTGATTGATATTGTGAGCAACAATCCATGCCGTCGGGGTATGGTGTCATGCCATCAACCAAGTCACCGAGCTTTACCACCCGATCCAGTAAGTTGCTTCTTACGACCCGGGGGCGGTCGGGTAGCCTAGTGGTTAAAGCGTTCACTCGTCACGCCGAAGACCCGGGGTTCGAATCCGGGTGAAGCCCATTTCTGGTGTCCCCCGCCGTGATATTGCTGGAATATTGCTAAAAGCGGCGTAAAACCAAACTCACTCACTCACTCTTACGACCCGATTAGGTTGCTGGGGAACAATTCTAACCCTGAATCCCCAATGCTTTCAAATACTGATACTGGTAAGATGGGACAAGAGAAAAATCAAATATATCTTAAGTTCTGACTCAGTTTCTCACTGCAGTGTTAAACGTCCCCCCAAAATTTATCTGTTTCCAAGTTATAGGAAAGAGAAAATAGATCTTGTAATATGAAAATGTAATCCTTTTACACTCTTTCACCAAGGTGATAAGATTTTTGTCCAGTTCGAAAAGAAGCAAAAAAGGTGACCAATTTACACATCATTTTTACCAGTCTGTGCAAAAGTGTTGAGTCTCTTGGATGAACATGGCTTTTAACATCATTTTCAGGAGAGAGTAATCATATGGACTAATATTGGCAGAGCTTACTAGACCAAATTTTACTTTACTCTGGGTTCTAATTAGTGGCTGAAGTCACAGAATGATTACACAAGCTTTTCCATTAATATCCTTATAATCCTGACACAATGAAACACTTGCTATGTTTGCTAAAGTTCATAAGTGCTCTAAAAATGTATCTGGGTACACTTTCACTAAACAATATTAGTGCTTTTGTCCAAGTTACTGTATAGGAGTTGTCACAGGGCTATGACGACTTTGTTTACAGTGTGCCCCTGGACTCGGGAAAGTAAACTTATGTTTTAAGTAGTCATTAATAAGATTCTCATACACTGATGTCCTTGTGTGTTCTGAGTTTCATAAGTGAGTGAGTGAGTGAGTATGGTTTTACGCCGCGTTTAGCACTATTCCAGCCATATCACGGCGGGGGACACCAGAAATGGGCTTCACACATTGCACCCATGTCGGGAATCGAACCCGGGTCCTCGGCGCGACGAGCGAACGCTTTAACCACTAGGCTACCCGACCGCCAGAGTTTCATAAGACATCAATATAACAGGTAGAGGGGAGGTGAAATAGGGTTTAATGTTCCAGATTATTGCACTTATATACAGCTATGTGCATGCGTATGCGTGTGTTTGTGCGTGTGCGTGTGCGTGTGTGTGTGCGTGAGGCTGCTCGTACCAGTCAAGACTAATGCCTGTTTTATGGTGCTAAACCAGTGAGATACCATCCTGCCATTTAACACGGATATCCCTCTCAGCCCTAGCTTACCGACTCCCAGACAACTAGTCTTTGTTTTAATCCCTTGACGAAAGCGCAAGGCAGGGTAATAACAAGTACCATCAACATGATCAACGTCTTTTGTTATGTGGCTGGGGATCAAAAGCCTTCCGCACTCCGAGCAGATGCTCTTTCCATGAGACCACAGAGGCATTTGCACAAGTAGAGGATGTATAGGAACCGCCAAGATCAATATGGCAAGCCATAAGACATCACATTGCAGTACACAATACTACAGCAATATATCACTATGGCCTGTGGTTGGGAACATTCCAATCACTATGGCCTGTGGTTGGGAACATTCCAATCACTATGGCCTGTTGTTTGGAACATTCCAATCGCTGTGGCCTGTATTTGGGAACATTCCAATCACTGTGGCCTGTAGTTGAGGACATTCCAATCACTGTGGCCTGTAGTTGGGGACATTCCAATCACTGTGGCCTGTAGTTGGGGACATTCCAATCACTGTGGCCTGTAGTTGGGGACATTCCAATCACTGTGGCCTGTAGTTGGAAACATTACAATCACTGTGGCCTGTAGTTGGAAACATTCCAATCACTATGGCCTGTAGTTGGGGACTTTCCAATCACTATGGCCTGTGGTTGGGAACATTCCAATCACTATGGCCTGTAGTTGGGAACATTCCAATCACTGTGGCCTGTAGTTGGGAACATTCCAATCACTGTGGCCTGTAGTTGGGAACATTCCAATCACTGTGGCCTGTAGTTGGGAACATTCCAATCACTATGGCCTGGAGTTTGGAACATTCCAATCACTTAGGCCTGTAGTTGGGAACATTCCAATCACTGTGGCCTGTAGTTGGGAACATTCCAATCACTGTGGCCTGTAGTTGGGAACATTCCAATCACTGTGGCCTGTAGTTGGGAACATTCCAATCACTGTGGCCTGTATTTGGGAACATTCCAATCACTGTGGCCTGTAGTTGGAAACATTCCAATCACTGTGGCCTGTAGTTGGAAACATTCCAATCACTGTGGCCTGTAGTTGGGAACATTCCAATCACTGTGGCCTGTAGTTGGAAACATTCCAATCACTGTGGCCTGTAGTTGGGAACATTCCAATCACTGTGGCCTGTATTTGGGAACATTCCAATCACTGTGGCCTGTAGTTGGAAACATTCCAATCACTGTGGCCTGTAGTTGGAAACATTCCAATCACTGTGGCCTGTGGTTGGGAACATTCCAATCACTGTGGCCTGTAGTTGGAAACATTCCAATCACTGTGGCCTGTAGTTGGAAACATTCCAATCACTGTGGCCTGTAGTTGGGAACATTCCAATCACTGTGGCCTGTAGTTGGGAACATGCCAATCACTGTGGCCTGTAGTTGGGAACATTCCAATCACTGTGGCCTGTAGTTGGGAACATTCCAATCACTGTGGCCTGTAGTTGGGAACATTCCAATCACTGTGGCCTGTAGTTGGGGACTTTCCAATCACTGTGGCCTGTAGTTGGGAACATTCCAATCACTGTGGCCTGTAGTTGGGAACATTCCAATCACTGTGGCCTGTATTTGGGAACATTCCAATCACTGTGGCCTGTGGTTGGGAATATTCCAATCACTGTGGCCTGTAGTTGGAAACATTCCAATCACTGTAGCCTGCAACTATATCATGGCAAGATGCAGTCATCAAAATGAGCTGTATGATGCAATCAGGCCCTCCCCCAGGCCCAGTGGACCATTCCTATAAACTGAGGATACGAAATACCTAAACAATGATACACTGATGCAGATGAGAATTTTTTTAAGGAAGTGTTTTCAAAATTTGATTTCCCTAACTTCAGACAGTGTGTGGTTGGGGAAGGGAGAGTGTTGAGTTCTTAGCTTTTAGTGAATGTACATGCATATTTCAATAATACAAAGGTATTAGCTTAATGTCATTCAAGTCCCTTGTGATTAACAAAAGGGAGGTTTCATACTTCATGGCCCCTCCAGACTTTTAAATAATCTACACCAACACACTGGTAAAATGCAGTATTTGTGAATCTTTTGATGCGAAATAAGGACAGTTAACCACTAAACGATTCAATATATGCCCCCAAACTGATGCAGCTTGATGATTATCTAGGAAGTTTGGTTTGGTGCTGAATTTGCAGCAAAAGCGCTGTGGACAGAGCTTTCAACAATAGGATATTTATACCTCTAAGACAAGCATGTAAAGAAATGTAAGCACATAAATAAGAAAGTATTTCCTAAATACTACCAACGATGAAATCTTCATGACTAGTAACACGAGAATGAAGTCAAATAAAGACAAGAATTCAAGCATCTTCATCATTATAAAAAATATATATTGTGAGTTAAGTGGAAGTGGCACTTAATCTTGATGTAAATATGCACTTGTTACAGAAAATACGAATGTCTGAGTTTCTAGAAATTAACCTCCCATAAAGATGTTGACATCCTACATGGTAAACGACAGAAGTCATACAATGTCTTAAACAGCACACATGAAAACAGTATATAGTTGAATAGATCTCGAGTACTCATTCTAGGCATATTATCAAGTGTGCACAAAATGTGATATGTTAATAAATTCAAACAGTTTAGCATGTTTAGCATTAGATTGAACACTTCTACCTAAACATCATAAGTAAATGAAAATGTATTAGTGGGTTTCGGCACACATGTTAAGGACACAAAAACAAACCTAATAGCAGACCTTATTGTATTAGGCTGTTGATCACCCTCTGTATAACACAAACTGCTCAGAGTTGTCTCCCCTAATGATCATGTCTGATACTGAGTCCTTTTCTGTGTTGCATATTTGACACGATAGTAATCCTATCCATCAAATAATGTGAGTTAAAACTCACGGATGAACTGAGAATTTATGGACAACAATACTCCTTGGCTGTATGTAATATATACACATTCTACATGTGAATGACAATGTTCTTGACAATAATTGGACATGTTCTTTCTTTGATTCAACATACACACCTGAAGGTCCCACTACGTAAATCCATGTGTTATTACTCACAGTCAAATATTAGTTGTCCTGATTTATTTCAAAAGAATGTACAAACTACAGAAACATTGCGAGTTTTAGACAAGGTCTAGACAGCCTTAGTCTGCACAAGACATTGACTTGATTTCATCATGACAAGTTGGAAGTTAATCATCTTGCTGCAGTGTTTTTTCTTAACAGACAGCCATGAGAGGGTTTGTGTGTTACAGACGATGTGATTGGTCACTTGCATTGTGTAACAGCAGGAGGAAGCTGAGGCTGCAGGATGTCAGGGGCATCTCATAATCTGAACGTTGCATTAAATGACGACAGGCATGCTCAAAGGGAAAAAAAACAATTGGTTACGTTAGGTGCAAATGATGAAATTTTGACATGCATAAAATGCTGACTATCACTGTACGTTATGTTTTGAAAGTAGACGCATGACTTGCTTGTCTGTCAGTTGTTTACTGCTGCACTCAGCAGCATTCCAGCTATGTGATCTAATGGACCAGACAATCCAGTGATTCATATAATTGACAACGATGATCCACCAAGTCATCTATCCTAGCTACCTGGTCCCAACTTTCGACCACTACAGGTTAATGGGGACCTATTCTTAACAACAATTCCCTTGGAGAGTGTACTCAAGAAGTAAAATCAAGTTGTCCACGTCTTCCCCATAGATTATGGTATACTTTATAGTCAATTTCTTTAATGTACGCCTATGTCTATAGATGTATTATCGCTGAGGTATAATCACATAAATAACATTACTAGTGTAGTTTGTTTATTTGTTTGTTGTTTAATACCACACTCAGCAATATTCCAGCTAATCAGGGTTGGTCCAGACAGTCTAGTAATTAACATCATGAGCATTAATCCACGCAACTGGGATACAATGACCTGTATCAACAAAGTCAGCGAGCCTGACCACCCCATCCCGTTAGTCGCCTCTCAGACAGACATGGGGTGCTGAAGACCAATTCTAATCCGGATCTTCATGGAACGACAAGAGTAGTAACATTGCCTCAAAGTTGCATTTGTATGTATAGATACTTCCAATTTGGAATTATCAAATCAACTCATATTAATTTATATGAAATATTATGTATACAACACTTTTTGAGTATGCTGCTCCTCAGTAAGCACATACTTATCACTGTAGAAAGGAGCAACATATATGGGCAGAACATTCAGCACTAAGGTCAAATATGTTACAGTGATCAGATTTACAATAGGTAACCTGACACAGCACCGAGTGCTCTTGAACCTGGTGTTGACACAAATACTTATCTCTATCTGGTGCAGTCAGAGCAAGTCACAAGACTCAGGTCACCTACATTTCACTTGTTTGATGAAACCCGATATACAGACATACATTGACATATACTCTCATTGCTAATGTAAGTATTCTCCAAACATTTCGATAAAATGGAAACAGAAAATCATGCCAGAAAAAGTTAAACAAACATATATTGACTCAGAAATATTATTGTCAATATCTAAATTAAGAAAACAATTTTTTTTTTTTTTTAAAAGAAAAGAAAGTGCCCCAAATTGACATCCCTGCAGCAGGCAGCCTTAGCAAGCTAGCGCTATATCTACCAAAATACATGTTACACAATCATGTGACCTAAACAGCCAACCAAACTGCAGGTCAGAGGTCATTTGCATGCCTGGATTGGAGGCTGCTTTACCTTTGATAGAAACTGGGCCAAACTCTGAAGGCAAACAAAGCACATGGTTACAACTAAATGAAGCATTCCAGCTCCACTACACACAGGTACAGCATGTAGCTACACACTCCACATTAGACCTGCCAACACACGCTGGGTTCTTATCTCAAACACTGGTAATGAGTTTTATTGACGAAATCATACACAGCTGAAGATACCAACATTTAAGTCTTTTCAAATGCTGTACCCATACACCTTTCAAATTGCAGTCATTTCCTACTTTTCCTATGGACTGTTAGATAAATTTATAGAAGAGCTTTTGCACCAGTGAGTTTCTCTGCCTATCAGTGATGTGTAACCTAGCCTCTTTATTCCCACACACCCGTGTAAAACTTTCCTAATGAATGAGTGAGTAAGTTGGGTTTAACGCCGCTTTCAACAGTATTCCAGTTCTTCACAGCATGTCAGCTTGATGTGGGAGGAAAGCCCAAAGTGATGCAGGTCTCAGGCGTTTACAACTTTGGTGAAACCCACGAGCACAGGTATGGTGCTGACAAACTTAGAAACATAATCGGGGCGAACCTGGATTTGATCCCACAATCATAGGTTTCTGGAGTGCACAAGGGATGCAACTCTGCACAGCGTGTAGCATAGCATGTACTATTTGGTGTGTACAAAGCCGTAAGATGATATCATTTTAATACCATTAATTGAGGGTAGAATCACATATAACAAAACACCCTTACCATGGTAACCTGTAAAACTGGCGTACAATAGACATGTATAAGCAGATGCCTTATTCAGTTTTAATTGTGGGTAGAATTTTATATATAGCCGTCTATAAAGTGACCCCCCTGTACAAGCCTTCAAAATCTATGCTAATTTATATACCCCGTCTATAAGCGAATCGGAATGAAGCACGTCACCAGCGCATACACAATCCCTACATTTGCAATAAAAACGTGTTGTCTTCCGCAGAAAAATATTTTTACATTGTATCCCTTCAGCGAATTCAGGGAAATGAACAGATCATAACAATTAAACTTGGTCAATATAAATTTAAAATTTGAGATAAAAAACACTAGACATGATGATTTACCTATCACCGTCGACGCTCCCACGCTCGCAACAGCAAAAACTTTGTGTTGACATAATATTATAATAGTCAAACTACAAAAAATTATATGACTTTCAACAAGTCAATGTGTGGCATTTATGATATATATATCCATTCTCTATCCACTAAAGTTTGTTTAAAGCCGTCAATAGCGGTAATAATTATGGCCATGGTTGCTGTAAATAACGGTGAGTTGTGCAATCTTCTGATCACTTCACATATGATTTCTCCGAAATGAACATAAACAATATTGAATGAAATTTTGAATAAAATTAATAAAATAGATATCACACATAATCCCAGATATACATAGAACCCTTTTTATAACCAGACGGTGTAATTACATGATCAATTGCGTACTTCAGTACGGATTTGTTAACATGGTATTTCTGGTGTTACATGCTCACAGTAATGTCTTTGTGTTGGGAAAGAAACATCAAAACTCTTCAACCCTGTGACAAATAAGATGACACCCCCTTGAAAGCCCCCTAATTCTAGGTACGAAAAAACTCGCCTTATGCACAGTGATATACAGTATTACCATGGTAACCTGTAAACCTGGTGTGTACAACAACACAAGCAGATGTCCTAATTCAGCATTAATTGAGGGTAGAATCTTATGCATACACCATTCTTCAGGTTGTGTTACACTGTTCTATAAGCTGAACAGTTTTTAAACATGTGTAAGACATAAGGAGCTCAGGGTGTGCAGGCATGGTCTCAGCAATCTCATGGTCATAAATTAGCAACTTTTCTTATTTGCTTTGAGTCGTCTGTTCACTGCTGTCTCAAGCATTCAAGTACACCATGAAATCAGTTTAACATTGAATTGTACCACATGGACCAGATGAACCATATCTGTAAGTTAACCATGTGTACCAGGTGAACCACATTGTAAAATCAATTATCTCAGTGGTCCATAGACAAAGAAAATATGGCCAAATGATACACAATCAGCCCCTAGTAGGTGAATGAGCCAACCTGAGACTTAAGCCACTAATCAGAAGCCCAAGTCTGGTAAAACCTTTTCTGGTCTAGCAAGATCAGCTTATGCTAGTCCATATGCTGGGACTAAAACCAACTGAAAATAACACCAAAATATAAGTTTTGAGCGAGTAGAATTCAAAGTTTTGGGCACACCGAGGAACAGGTTAAAGTCGAACACTCTTAGCAATGTTTCAGACGTATCCCCAGTCCGTGTCGAACACTCTCAGCAATGTTTCAGACGTATCACCAGTCTGTGTCAAAAAACATTTGAGTCCACTGGACAGAATTTGGTTCTTGTTTGGCTACAATACAGAACACCGGATACCTTCCACCATCTTTTATACATGCGCAGAAAACTGCGCAAGATACTTCCTCAGCATTGATGCTTGTATCTACATGTCACCACTTTACTATCAATTCGCCTGACTTTTTTAGCCCATAAATAAATATATCCAATCAAATGGTGAGTACTCAACATCTTATCTCTTATGTATTATCTTGTATGAAATTGCTTTCCTGCATTACAATCCAAAGACATCCAAACTGTCTTTCGCATCAGTAGGAGCGAGTGGCTGACGTGGAGCAACAACAACTCTGAGTCCTTAGGTGAGGTGAGGTGAAATGGGGTTTAACGTCGCGACCAAGATTATTGCATTTATATAGCGACGTGCATGTACATTAATGCAGAGCGCCAGACAGGGTAATAACAAGTACCATTTTTAACGTCTTTTGGTATGACGCGGCCAAGGATCGAACCCAGACCTTCCGCTCTCCGGGTGGACGCTCTACCACTAGACCACTGAGGCAGTCCTTAGCATGAGGGTTATATTATTAACGCGAACAATCAGTTCAAGGAAGGCCTCAAATTTATCTTTACCTTAGGCCAAGTATTTGTGACTTGTTCAAAATTCTTCAAAATAAGAAGAATACAAAACTTTCGCGGTGCCTGATCCTGGAAGCAAACACTTCAATGCACCTCACAATGATTCTATGGTGTTCATGCGTGCCCCCGTTTTGGGATCCTTGAGTGGTTAACTGTCAAATGTGAAAAATATTTCTCCTTCAGGCAATCATGCCTTCCAACAATCACTGATGATGGTCGTTCCTGGATTTATGTTCTTCAGGATTACTGGTATTAGAGTCCAAGAAGCTGTTTTCAACACATGCAGAGAAACATTGTTTTGAGTCCCTATCAATGCCCCTGAAAACCCACTGTCCTTTAACCCTCATTCCTCTGTTGAATATTCTTTTTTCAAAGTTAAACTCAACTATTTCAACAATGCTTCCAACATCCCCTATCTGCTCACCAGCGACCGAAATTGGCACTAGTCCTGTAGTCCTTGCCAAACTGCCCAATAGTTAAGGTATCATAAGGACTAGTAGAAATTTGCCATTTTTAAGGGATTTGCTGTATGTTGTCATTATAAGAACTAGTAGACTAAAACTGTTAGTTTCTACCGCTGCTCACTGTCCTAATCCACACACAAACGCAAACCTCCCTGCGGAAGTGGTATCTATCCACAGTAGTGCTACATGAACAAATGTCAATTTCCCTGTGAAAGAAATCCTGTGGCAGTCTCCAAACCCAACAATAGGCCAATGACAATACTGTGCCAATGTCTAGTTTACTGTTCTCAAACCATGAATTATGATGAACGTAAATATTTTCCCCCACAGTCTTTCTCACTACATTTCCAAATTTGGTGTCATTGCTGTAGCTATTATCGGTATACAAATAAAAGTTTTCAGTTAAGCACTTACCACTTGTTTTCTCTCAATTTCTTAATAATCCCTTTCTCCTAAAAAAAAACTAAATAAAATAATTCTTCTTTAAAACGGAAAACATCCTAAATTCACATTTCCAATTTGTCGTAAGGCTAGATGTGTGAAGCATGCCCAAATATTTTTGTTACGTGAGTGAGTGAGTTTGGTTTGACGCCGCTTTTTTAGCAATATTCAAAATGAAATTCAAAGGTTAGATTAAATAACACTGAAAGTAAATTCGTGGAAGCTGAAAATGAAGGTATTTTTTTTATTTCACAAAGCGTTTTTTTCCTAGCGCCATCGCATGTGGCTCCTTATTAAAGGAACTGCACATGACACAAACAAATATGGTGATTAGGTATCCGGTATTCTGTAGGTCACTAGGTGTACCGCAAATATTTCAGCACACTCTAGTATTATCATATGTCGTTTTTTATTAGCTGATCTTACTACACCAAACAAAATTTTACTCAACTTTTAAGTCGCAGATGGTATCCCGACTCTAGAGTTGAGAGTTGATCCCACAAATTGTAGGATTGTAAGTTGTAGTACAACTGAGCATATGTATACAGCTTTAAACATGATCTTAGCCATACTTGATTGGAACTTCTACATCACTGCCAAATTTGTAAATAAATCTTTAAGATTTTGAATGCCATTTAGTCAATATCCTGGAAAGACAATTGATCTGAACCCATGGTTAAGAGCTGATCCACAGGGCCCCGTTCCACAAAGCGAACATAGCACTACGACTGTTGTAAGTTAATGTTAAAGTATGGGAGTTACGATCACCTTAGCGCTACGATCGCTTTGTGGAAGGGGCCCTGTTTTGGCGCTTTTCGTACAAGTAACCATCTGGCCCCTTACTCTATAAAGCTTCAACAAAGTTTCAATACTAATCTTCATAAAAGGCAACATGTCGCATTCTGTATCCCCAAACAGCATTTTGTAGTATGGCAAAATTGCCATTTTAGCGTATTTTTGCAGTCCGAGCTCTTGACAAACATGAAGGTAAACTTCTGCATAATGTAATCTACGAGCCTGAACTAAGTATCTTGGCATTATCTTTGGTCCTAGCATACGAGTTTGATATATAGATTAGTTTCTGCTGAACTTACTGAACCGAAAATCGTTTCATGAAACTCGGCTTTGAACTGATGGCTAAGGCACAGACTGATATGGCTGGGACACCAGGTACCAATGTACCTAGTTTGGGAGCGTCAATAAAGTGCTCATGTTTGCCCAATTTACGTTTACCTTGGGATGAGGAATGAAAGACAACTATCATTATAAAACACCTGACATTCTTTAATTGGTACCAATTTAGCCCTTTACTGCCAATGTAAATTATGGCAGCTAGTTTTGGACTTGAATATGTATGAGGAAACAATCAATTGTAGATGAAAGAGTTATAATTACTTACAGCACAACCAATAACTGCAGAGAGAGGCTTATCCATACATTCAATACCATATTGGCCTTGTCCACTGATTTGCAGGGAATCCTTTTAGTGAGCAATCTGTCTTTCAGTTATGAGAAGCAAGCAGCCATTATGCTGTGTGGAATCAATAGCCTGGATCGCCATAACAACCTGGGCATTGATGTGCTTCTTCCTCAGGGCATCGTTAAGACCTACTCTACCTACCTAGAAATGCTATATACTCCCTGTACATCATCAGGTGTACATATCAATAAATGCACCACTCAGCTGAACAGCAAAATGTAGGATATTGGGGAAATTATGCTTATCTCGATTCTGCCTTTCAAGGGAAAGATAAACTTGGTCTTATCAATGGAGCAACAATTCTTGGGGAATCATTATTTAGGCACTCAGTGATCAAACATTTTCAAATTGGACACAGCCAATATTTCTGCAACATGCTGACCAACAATTAGAGGATGTTATTTTACAGTATTTTTGAAATTCAGAATTTAATTAATCAGATCAGTTGGGTTGAGGCTTATGAACAGTACCATAATGCAGCAAAATCAGGACTGCATGAGGGATTCCCACACTGTACCAGTGTAGAAAACTGATCCTGGGACCCTGTTCAACAAATCTATCTTACAGGACTTTCATGATCCTATTTTAGTTGCAACACCAAGAACACTAAGATCTTGACCTGTTATAGCTAGTCTACCATATCATTGTTTTTATGTCCTAGTCAGTAACTTGCACCATTAATTAGGAACTGTCACATACTCTCCAGTGATAAACTATCATAGGCTTCAGATAAAAGGTCATGAAAGAATCGCAGCACAGACCATCACTTGTCCTTCCTTAATGGCTTCACTGCACTTAGTTCCTTACATTGGTTGGTTGGTTGGTTTGTTGTTTTACGCCGCACTCAGCAGTATTCCAGCTATATGACAGCGGTCTGTAAATAATTGAGTCTGGACCAGACAATCCAGTGATTGACATCATGAGCATCGATCCGTGCAATTGGGATCGATGACATGCATCAACCAAGTCAGCGAGCCTGACCACCCGATCCTGTTAGTCGCCTTTTACGACAAGCATAGTCACTTACATGGGCTATCATACGCAAAGATTACTAGACTTTGGATCCAACCTAGGTTTGAGCGTGCCAGGTGACAACACTACCAGCCCACCTACCCCATGCTGAGGAGATGGAAGCACACTACCTTGACACACCAGGACATTAACATCGGGGGCAAGGTGAAGGCTATGTTTATCTGCATACACCCTGGGAGAAACACCCATGCATTACAACAACTTGGGCTGGACAGCAGCTGGTACTGCAGAAATATTTCTGAAGGCGTATTGCACAGATAATTTAGTTTTCTGTAAGAAAACTTGAACCTGTATCCTAAAAGAGGCCTTGCTTTAATTCAAGATGTGTTTTTTTAATATGGCATAAAGTTTAATCGTTTTTCTTTTGATATCGTATATTGATAAATACAAACATAATACATAAGGAAGAGAATTATAGATGTCAATTTCTTTATTATTGGGAACACAATGTTTCAGAGTATATGCTTACTCCTTCATTCACCTGATGAAGGAGTGAGCATAAACTCCGAAACGTTGCGTTCCTCATGATAAAGAAGTTGACATTCATAATTCTCTTCCTTATGTGTATCACTTCTATATGCATTTCAATAACATGACAGCGGTTCATATGTAATTCTGAAAAATAATTTTGGCATTCTTAAAATGAGCAACCTTGAAACATTCTCTTGCTCACAAAATAATCAAAATGGCTAGACTAGGATAGCCCATGTTATAATAATATCTGAGTTCTACAGATTGTAAATAAAAAGTGGAGAAATGTGTAATCTTTGATACATACAATTTATTCGAAACTACCATTAAACATTCAGATGTTAAAATGCACTCTTTATCGGAAGTAAGCTATTATAGTGCTTGAAATCGTGTATTAACTCATTAAAAGGAAAAGTTGTTAATGACAGTATCCATGGCACCGACAGTACCAGATCGACCAGGTCTGGAGCACATGTGCAAGTCACATGGTCAGGATTGACAAAATGGGAGAGAAAATTCAAAATAGGAACTAAACAAAATAGCAAACAAACTCAGCACACACATGTGACCATGTATACCTTGCTTTTCATAATACATAATGCCAGACATGTCTTCGTCAACTGAAGAAACAAAAGAGGAAATTAGCAACCTACAGACTAGGACTCTACATCAGCAACATGTCAGTCATCTGTTAGTTTAGCATCCTTTCTTTTCGCAATTTATTCGCGTTTCTGAAAATCTTCCAAACATATAACCTTCATCTTGTGTTTAAAAATAGTATTGGCCTATCGCCGATAAAAATGTTTGAAAAACATTATTCTCCAAGAGAATTTTGGCCATATTAGGTCAAATGTTTTCGCAACATAATACGTCGCAAACTGTATGAAGAGGATAAAAAAGACGTATATTAAAACAGCAAAAATAATTTTGAAAAGGTTAAATTTGTGCTTTTAGAGTTATAACTTATATATAGTCTTATAACAAATGACTTGCTGCTGATGAAGGTCCTTTGTATCAGATGCAGACCGCCGGCCTTTCATACACACAATATAGTACTCAGATAAGAGCAATCAGTTCCAACACCTATCTCCATAATAACACAGTAGGAATTTCAAGATTAATACTCAATACCAATAGTATTTAATACATTATTACTAGTTAATAACATCAATTGATATTACAAATATCCCTTCTTTACATCAGTTATTTGTAATCAAATTATGAGAGATGAAAATAATCTTCAGAGAAATACAGTATATATGTTTTGCATAGAGAGGGTGGTATTATCATTATTATCATTATTATCATTAAAGATATCAAAGCATGTAAATGATTGCATTTTGAACATAAACCAATATTTTCTTGTTTGGTAACATGTTTGGTTGCCATGCATACTACCCATCAAACAGCAGTGATACGTACAAAGCTTGGCATTGCAGCAGATTATTATTGTTTACAACAGAAACGATCAGTGACTGATCAACATTGTCATGCAATCAGTGTTACTGGCCTATTGTTGTATATATACAACTGCTGTGCAACTACGGAAAGTTTTTATTATTTATGTGAATACATTCCAAATAATAACTATGACAGTATCATGTCAGATAATTATATAAAACATTGATGAAAGGCTCGGCTAAATAAGTAAAGTTGAAAAGTAAAATGACAACAGTGAAATACTTTAGAACTAAAGAACATCAAAAGAACAAAGTGTGACAGCTCGAACAGATCTTCAATATAGTTACCTTCGATGCTTTTCTTGTCACCAACAGAATAAGAGTTCTTGACCTTGCTAAATTCCTCACGGTCCTCCAAGCTCTGAAGAAAGCGGGCAGTAACACGAGGAAAGTGTTGATGCGACAAGGCCATGTATTTCTCTCGGATCATCAGAGCCTTCACAAGACTCTTTGAGGCCAGTTCTAGATCCTTCAGGGGCACCTGTAACACAGCAGTGGTGTTACTGTATTCGACGTAATAAGCGCCCCGCTCTAATAAGCGCCCACGGCGATATTTGCTAATTTATTGGCTAGTGAACAATCCCAATTAGCACCCCTTCCAATTGATCAAAGTACACAAGAATTTATCCTATAGTATTAGTAAGCACTCGTGTGTTATATGAATTCTTAATTATGGGCAATTACATTCTGAAAAAATGTATCTGTCGCATATAACATACGTCACTTCCTACCGAGAACCATATACAAGTATGCAAATAATCATAATGATGTTACGTGTGCCTCCAATACCCATGCAGCTCACGCATTGTATGTATCAGCCTCTCCCCTTCTATAATGAGAGTGTGTGTCAACTGTCATACTGATTTTATGACATGAGCATCAGAATATTTGCATTTACCAAGTGAAACCTGCAATTCATTTTAATTTATTTAAACTGTACTTTTATAAACCGCAGGTACTAGTATCTGCTCAAATATGGTTTTATTTGATCCCCGACCAGTGGATCCGTTTGCATTCCACTAATCATTCTCAACTCCCTGGGGAGTATACAACCCAAGCTGCTCATGGGCGCTACAGATTTTTACATCCACCTCAGATATTGGGTACCCATTCCCTGCTGGGTGAACAGAGGCAATTTGAACTAAGTCACTTGCCCAGGGTGACCTTACATGTTTTAACACTTGTGTTTCGGGTGTATGTACGTATTCAGGTTTCCACCATCTGGGCATCTACCATCGGATGAGCGGGTTCTTTTGAGTGCACGGGCTGTATGTACTGTACACAAGGGATAGTGACAACACTGTAAGGACATGTAAACATGTTGGTCCCAAGGCTGAATAACAACCCGGTCACTAGTGGGATACGATCTCAGCACCAGGCGCTTGCTAGCATGGCGCTTTTGACCGCTTGCACACTCCGTAACATTTTGTGGGGTCACGATGATTCCAGGTGTATTAGTGTAGAAGTAGTGTGTTCTGTTTCAAACCTGTAGTGTAAAGTTTTCAGGGTCAACATCAACAATGATGCATTGTGAGGTCATTACAACCTGATGTTAGTAAACAGTGTTCAAAATTATACATGAAAGTGAAGGTCCTTGTCATAATGTTTAAGATTTAGGGGGTCCCTCGATTCAAATGCTTTGACAGCAAATACCTCAAGTACACAAAGACCCCTCATATATTCTGTCAAATACAACTGGCATGACAACAAATTAACAGTGATGTTTGAATACATAGACAGTGGTATTGTATTGTGTAAACAATGACGTGGAGTGTGTACCATCATTATAACATCAGGCCACTAGTCCAAAGTCTAAGAGAGTAAAATTCTGTTTGCTCAAGTAAGCTCAGATAACAAGTCCATATAAAAACACTACATGCTAGTGAAAATCATATTGAGAGCCAAGTTTGATGTTGTCCAAAAGGTTTTTGGCACAGGCTGTACACGTGTATTTTTTATGGCAGCCTGTGAATAAACATTACAGGACCAGGGTAGCCAAAGATAGAGCAGACAGTAAGCATGAGCAAACAACCACCATGATTAGGATGGCACACGATACACAGAAGGACACACAAACAGCCTGGCACACAATACACAGACGGACACACAAACAGCCTGACACACGATACACAGACGCACACACAAACAGCCTGACACACACGATACACAGACGGACACACAAACAGCCTGACACACAAACAGCCTGACACACAATACACAGACGGACACACAAACAGCCTGACACACAAACAGCCTGACACACGATACACAGACGCACACACAAACAACTTGACACACGATACACAGACGGACACACAAACAGCCTAACACACGATACACAGAAGGACACACAAACAGCCTGGCACACGTTACACAGATGGACAAACAAACAGCCTAACACACGATACACAGAAGGACACACAAACAGCCTAACACACGTTACACAGACGGACACACAAACAGCCTGACACACGATACACAGACGGACACACAAACAGCCTAACACACGATACACAGAAGGACACACAAACAACCTAACACACGTTACACAGACGGACACACAAACAGCCTGACACACAATACACAGACGCACACACAAACAGCCTGGCACACAATACACAGACGCACACACAAACAACTTGATACACGATACACAGATGGACACACAAACAGCCTTACACACGATACACAGACGCACACACAAACAGCCTTACACACGATACACAGACGCACACACAAACAGCCTGGCACACAATACACAGATGGACACACAAACAACTTGATACACGATACACAGATGGACACACAAACAGCCTGACACATGATACACAGACGGACACACAAACAGCCTGGCACATGATACACAGACGGACACACAAACAGCCTGGCACACGATACACAGACAGACAGACAAACAGCCTGGCACACAATACACAGATTGACACACAAACAGCCTGGCACATGATACACAGACGCACACACAAACAGCCTGACACACGATACACAGATGGACACACAAACAGCCTGACACACGATACACAGACGGACACACAAACAGCCTGGCACACGATACACAGACGCACACACAAACAGCCTGACACACGATACACAGACAGACAGACAAACAGCCTGACACACAATACACAGGACACACAAACAGCCTGGCACACGATACACAGACGGACACACAAACAGCCTGACACACGATACACAGACGCACACACAAACAGCCTGGCACACAATACACAGGACACACAAACAGCCTGGCACACGATACACAGGACACACAAACAGCCTGGCACACGATACACAGACGGACACACAAACAGCCTGGCACACGTTACACAGACGGACACACAAACAGCCTGACACACGATACACAGGACACACAAACAGCTTGACACGATACACAGACGAACACACAAACAGCCTGGCACACGATACACAGACAGACACACAAACAGCCTGACACACGATACACAGATGGACACACAAACAGCCTGACACACAATACACAGATGGACACACAAACAGCCTGACACACAATACACAGACGGACACACAAACAGCCTGGCACACGATACACAGACGCACACACAAACAGCCTGACACACGATACACAGACGCACACACAAACAGCCTGGCACACAATACACAGGACACACAAACAGCCTGACACATGATACACAGACGGACACACAAACAGCCTGGCACACAATACACAGGACACACAAACAGCCTGACACACGATACACAGATTGACACACAAACATCCTGGCACACGATACACAGACGAACACACAAACAGCCTGGCACACGATACACAGATGGACACACAAACAGCCTGACACACGATACACAGACGGACACACAAACAGCCTGGCACACAATACACAGGACACACAAACAGCCTGACACACGATACACAGATTGACACACAAACAGCCTGGCACACGATACACAGACGAACACACAAACAGCCTGGCACACGATACACAGACAGACACACAAACAGCCTGACACACGATACACAGACGAACACACAAACAGCCTGACACACGATACACAGACAGACAGACAAACAGCCTGACACACAATACACAGGACACACAAACAGCCTGGCACACGATACACAGACAGACACACAAACAGCCTGACACACGATACACAGACGGACACACAAACAGCCTGGCACACAATACACAGGACACACAAACAGCCTGACACACGATACACAGATTGACACACAAACAGCCTGGCACACGATACACAGACGAACACACAAACAGCCTGGCACACGATACACAGACAGACACACAAACAGCCTGACACACGATACACAGATGGACACACAAACAGCCTGACACACGATACACAGATGGACACACAAAGAGCCTGACACACGATACACAGACGCACACACAAACAGCCTGGCACACAATACACAGATGGACACACAAACAGCCTGGCACACGATACACAGACGCACACACAAACAGCCTGACACACGATACACAGACAGACAGACAAACAGCCTGACACACAATACACAGGACACACAAACAGCCTGGCACACGATACACAGACGGACACACAAACAGCCTGACACACGATACACAGACGAACACACAAACAGCCTGGCACACAATACACAGGACACACAAACAGCCTGACACCCGATACACAGATTGACACACAAACAGCCTGGCACACGATACACAGATGAACACACAAACAGCCTGGCACACGATACACAGATGGACACACAAACAGCCTGACACACGATACACAGATGGACACACAAACAGCCTGACACACGATACACAGATGGTCACACAAAGAGCCTGACACACGATACACAGACGCACACACAAACAGCCTGGCACACAATACACAGATGGACACACAAACAGCCTGACACACAATACACAGATGGACAGACAAACAGCCTGACACACAATACACAGATGGACACACAAAGAGCCTGACACACGATACACAGACGCACACACAAACAGCCTGGCACACGATACACAGATGGACACACAAAGAGCCTGACACACGATACACAGACGCACACACAAACAGCCTGACACACAATACACAGACGCACACACAAACAGCCTGACACACAATACACAGACGCACACACAAACAGCCTGACACACGATACACAGGACACACAAACAGCCTGACACATGATACACAGACGCACACACAAACAGCCTGGCACACGTTACACAGACGGACACACAAACAGCCTGACACACGATACACAGACGCACACACAAACAGCCTGGCACACAATACACAGAGGGACACACAAACAGCCTGACACACGATACACAGACGCACACACAAACAGCCTGGCACACAATACACAGAGGGACACACAAACAGCCTGACACACGATACACAGGACACACAAACAGCCTGACACACGATACACAGACGCACACACAAACAGCCTGACACACGATACACAGACAGACACACAAACAGCCTGACACATGATACACAGAGGGACACACAAACAGCCTGACACACGATACACAGGACACACAAACAGCCTGACACACGATACACAGACGCACACACAAACAGCCTGGCACACGTTACACAGACGTACACACAAACAGCCTGACACACGATACACAGAGGGACACACAAACAGCCTGACACACAATACACAGGACACACAAACAGCCTGACACACGATACACAGACGCACACACAAACAGCCTGGCACACGTTACACAGACGTACACACAAACAGCCTGACACACGATACACAGAGGGACACACAAACAGCCTGATACACGATACACAGACAGACAGACAAACAGCCTGACACATGATACACAGACACACACAAACAGCCTGACACACGATACACAGACGGACAGACAAACAGCCTGACACACACGATACACAGCCAGACGCATAATATACACAACCTGATCTGATACCAGACCAGACAAGACAATCCCATGATTAATATTATGAGCAATGATCCACGTGTTTGGGAACGGTGTTACACCATCAGCCAAGTTACAGAGCCTGACCACCAGTGCACTCACCCCACTGAAATCCTCTCCGCTGATGGTAATCTTCTGGAATGTGGGGACCAAGTCAATCTCCTCATCTAGCTCCGCCTTTACATCCTGGGGCGTCACATCTTCATCCACAAAGGATGGTCGACTCCGCTCCACAGGGGATGATAGGGTCTGTGAGGAAGTGCTGGAAAACATGGAATATGCTGTATTTTCACCTCTACAAAGACAAATGTCACCAAAACCACAACAAAATCACAAACTTAAAATAACTCAACAAGAGGACAAAATCATCAAAATCCCCTGCAATGTTAGACAATTGTCGTGAATAAATATATGGAACTTGTTGTCATGTTAACTTGAAACATATTTGTTGAAAAAATTAAAAACAATCAAAAAGAGCAAGTTCATCTCTAGACCTATCTATTTGTCAAGATGATGAAATATTGTATGTTTTTCAAGATCTGCTCCAAAAACGGGCACAACCACCCTAGGTCAAAGTTGTTACCATGGAAACACGAAAATAAATGTTTAAAAAAGAAATAAAAAAGCACCAGTTGACCACTTGACCTATCCGTGTATCAAGTTTGGTGAAGAAATGTACGGTTTTCAAATCTGCTCCGGAAACGACTTACACAGGCAGACGCTATCCATTTTAATCCCCCTCAAAATGCATTGCGAGCGGATAATTAATCTAAACTATACTTCACATTGGTCAAAGCCTATACTTCCCTGAATATAAATCACCAGAAAAAGAAGTATTGGCAGAAAATTTGATAATATTACCATGACTTTTCCATGACAAATAATTTAATGGCAATCGTCTATTTCCAAAAACTATCCCATGTCTGTGAAAATCAAACTAAAATTCCATGACTCTTCCACGATTCGGTGACCTGTTTGAACCCTGTTTTGAAAACTTAAATTAAAACTGGACAAACAGTAGCACATCTATTTGCCAAATATAATTTGCTTGACTTTCAACTATATTGACTTGTAATTCCATGTTGACCACAGTGCAAGTGAGTGGGTGAGTGAGTATGGTTTTACGCCGCTTTTAGCAATATTCCGGCAATGTCACGGCGGGGGACACTAGAAATGGGCTTCACACATTGTACCCATGTTGGGAATCGAACCCGGGTCTTCGGCGGGACGAGCGAACGCTTTAACCACTAGGCTACCTGACCGTCCCACATACAGTGCAAGTGAGATGTATTGGATACAAAATATAAACGATTAAGATGGATTGACTTAGTCGCGATTTCGTGATATTCTTGCATAGTTGTCATAGATATATATATCATATAACATTCACATTCAATCTGTGCGATTAAAATCGCGTACTTCTTTCATTTTTATTTCATCAGCATTGACACTCTCATTTTCACCTATAAATATCGAAAATAATTTTCTGCTTGAATAAAATTATCAACCTTACCTACACATTTCAACAACAAACTAACACGATAGTTTATTCAATCAAAAGTTGTCATTTTGAAACAGTGAGTTTTATACTCACAACACTGCATGCCATCTCTTACTGTGCACAACCGATTCCTATATCGCTGCATGGAGCTTTGCATCGGCTGACAGTGGTGGAGTGCACAACATTGTTGTGTGAATTATGAAGTTTGAACTATTTCTAGTAGCCAAACAGTAAGTAAGATTTAGAGTTTTTAGAATAAGCTACGATATGTTTCCTTTAAGGTTTGTCCATAAAAATTTAAAACTGTGACTCAATCATCATTCAACTGTAACTCATAAACATGGTGAATGTCAACAGTCTTTTTAACTTTTGGTAACTTGTAAACATGTCCTGGCTGCTGCACATGGCAAACAGGCCGACTTCTGCGGGACATAAACAATATATTGTTGCTAATTAAACAAAAGAGGGGGGCACGGGTGGCACAGTCGTCAAAGGCGCCGCAATTCGCTGTGCAGAGTTGCGTCCCTTGGGCACGCCAGAAACCTCTGGTTGTGGGTTCAAATCCCGGTTCGCCCCAATTATGTTTCTAGGTTTGTCAGCACCATACCCGTGCTCGTGGGTTTCACCGAAGTGGTAAACGTCTAAGACCTGCATCACTTCGGGCTTTCCTCCCACATTAAGCTGACACGCCGTGATAGTTCTGGAATACTGTTAAAAGCGGCGTTAAACCCAACTCACTCACTCACTCACTAAACAAAAGAGTGAACCTGGGGCAACATTCGTTGTATAATAAACGTAGGATGAACTGTCACTTCTAATTAATTGAAAATTCAATAATATTTCCTTCGATATGGTACACACTACGGACGGACATAGACAGTAGAATTGATGAAAGCACCGTGTTTCATCCCCTCTGGAATACAAATATCATATTTTTGGCCAACAAACTGTAACATCATTTACAACAGTCACTTTTTCATGTCATCACTTTGAACATATAAAATTACAATCTAAAAAAACATTGTCGAAGACCTAGAAATTTGCTAACTGCAGATTCTTGTCTCCCTCATGCCAACAAAATGAAAAGCTGACAGTGGTAAACACGCCTCCTAAACAATTCATAATTGTACTCGCGAATAATTCCTCCTAGTCGACAATGAACAGAAATACATAAATATTAATGTAATTTCTCCTAAAGTAAACAATGAACAGAACTATGAATTCCACTGTAATTTCTTTTAATACTCATGTAATATTTTTTAATATTTTTACTGGAATCATTAATTCTCGAAAATAGGATATCTAATATGACTATATAATCCAGTAACATAAATTGCAACATAATTCGAGTCACAAATACTGAAAATCAAATACAGTTTCCACAATGAGCATGGTGAGAAGACACAATATTAGCAAAATCTCATCACACGCCAAAAAAAGCTCATTCTTTTGGACTAGGGGACATTTTCTCTCATAAGTAAAAATCCTGATTCTGGGTCAAAAAGATTCTCGAGGAAAGAATATTCAAATGGGAAAATATTCCAATGTTAGTAAGATACAGGCTGTGGTAATAAAATCCTTGGCAAAAATTTCTACTGATATTTTTTACCTAGGGTATTACTGTCTCCCAGAAAGAATCACCACAGGGTGAATTAAATATCCTATTGTAGTAACACAAATATTGAATTGCATGAATTGGAGGTAAACATTTCAAATAATATCTTTTATGAATATGTACAAGTTCAAGATTAACAAGGTCTGGATTAACGACGTTTCACTATTTTCATTTGATCTGCCTCTGCCTCTAAGGTAATTTGTGACAACACGGAGATTGATGTTTGTTGTTCTATGTGCCACAGGTACTGACTAAGATACTTATGTGTGAAATTAAAGAGTGCCAAAGAAGAAGAATGTCCAACCTTGACATACAGACACATGTCCAATACAGACACTTGTTAATCCAGGCCTACTTAATCCAGAACCCAGCCCTGTTTTTGGAACGCGTACATTCAGTAAAAAAGATATTATTCTGCCGAACCATGACTCATTAATCCAGATATTTGTCAATCTGAACAATTTCATTCGTAAGTTTACTGTCAAAGTTATTTGGGATTGGCTGAAAATACAAGACCTGGATGAAACAGTTTCATCAGTTTTCGAATCCTGCTGTCAAATAGTCTGTCTCAAACAAGTTTGGTTTGTTTCAATCACAACACTTTATTAGTCTTGGCACAACTGTCTCCTTACAAAAAGCCTCCAAAATATCAGTCTGCGACCTTAGCCATAGTCCGTAGCCTGTTTCCAGTAACATTCTGTTCAGTCTCATAAAATCCGCTAACAATAGTGCATATGACAACACTTAAATGTTTAAAATACAATGCTAAGAGCCAAGTTCAGGATAGTGAACACAAATGCTCTTGGCACACACTGTATTATCATAAAAAAATTAAGAATTCAAATTACCGTATAGTGAACAATCCTAATTAGCACCCCTTCCGGTTGATAAATGTACACAAGGCTGTTTATTTGTGCATAATATGTTTGTTATAGGCATCCTTAATTATGGGCAATTAAATTCTGGAAAAATATATCTGTCGTTTATAAACATTTCAGCATAAACCACGAAATTTACGCTCTTTGAACTCTGTTGTTTTTCACCAAAATAATATTCTAATAAGAGCCCCCTATTTCTAATTTTGAGAGCGCCCTGTCGAATACGGTAAACAAAATAGTGAAACACAACAGCCATATGTCTAACAAACTACCAGGACCTATATTCAGTCACCTTGACAGAATAATCACAAACAATTCCTGACAATTATATTCTATTCTCTATTTTCATACCCGCATAATACGCACACTCACCCGAATAGCAACATCATGACGAATAGCAAGCACCTGCTTCACAAAGGAATTGGAACGTATCAATGCTGCAAGTGCCTACAGCATGTACATACAGCTTTCACTACAAGGCTAATCGCATCACTATAAGCCTAATGACATAACCCATGATTGAGATTCACTTCTTTGTACCCAAACAAGAGCAGCAACAATACACTTTATATTGACCTATCTTATCCCGGCCAATCAGCGACTGCTTGTCTGAGTGTATAGTCTTTTCTTAATAGATCTATGGCCATTGAGGAGTTGTTTGGTTAATACGACTTACTCCTCCTTTTACTCCCTGGTCTTCAGGAAAAAATCTATACATTTTATATTTTAGTAATAAAAAGAACAGAGATAACTCAAATAAGGGACAATAAAAAGACGACTATGATGAATAATGAGATTTTTAATTACAAGATTATTTTAAAAGTGAGCCTGAAGGCATTTTATATTACATTTTCATTCAACCAGTCTGAGATTTATCCACAAGTCCGAAGCAGAAGTCAAATTTAATTTTGTTGTCTTGTCAGCTCAGCTAATAATATTACATAAAATAAAACTAAATTCTACTGAAAATGATGCTAAGAGCTAAGGTTGGGCTAGTTGTAAAAGGTTTGGGCACAGACTGCAAACCGACCTTCATCCATGGCCAAGCCATGTTGCATATTGCAAACAAAGTCAGTGATGATGAATATCTTCAAATAGTTGTTATTGAATCAAGTGAGGCAGGTTATTTGAAATGATACAAGCAAGGTGAAAAGGACATAACTAATAAATTATGCATGAACTGATTGAATAAATTTCTCACTATTCAAAAGTGACTTTGAAAGTCAGTGTAAATGCGCGTCTTTGTCATTCATAACGAAATAGTAGCA